TTACCTCCTCCAACTCCTCCTCCTCCTCCTCTTCATCTTCCTCCTCCTTATCTTCCTCCTCTTCATCTTCCTCCTCCTCCTCATCCTCCTCCTCTTCATCTTGATATGAGGCACGGGCTATACTATGTGGGTCATAGTTTAGTTACTTTTCACGTAACATGCAGGAGAAAACTGTGGCACGATCTACGTGACAGAATCATAAAAAAGATCTCGGGACCAAGGCCATGAAGGGGGTGAGAGGAGGAAGGGAGGGGAGGGAAGGAGAGAGGGAGGGAGAGAGGGAGGGAGAAAGTAGGCCATGGTTCAAAGTCCGTTGGAACAACTTCTACTTTCGGGGATCGCTGGCTGGCTGGCTGGGACAGGGAGCCCTCTCCAGAAACGAGGCCAGGTTCACTTCACGTTTTGCCCCAACGAAACAAAGTAAGACAGAAAGATAAAAATATTGTTTAAAAGTAAAAGAGAGAAGAGGAACGAAAGAAAAATGAAAATTAAAAAAAAACAGGGAAGAGGTTTATAAAAGAAAGAAAGAAAGAATAAAGTAAGATACAAACAAAAGACACAAACGAAAAAAAAAGAACGAAAGAAAGAAAGAAAAAGGAGAAAGGAAGAAAGAAAGAGAGAAACACCAGCAAAAATTACCAGTCAGTAGCTTCAGATATAGATAGATAGGTAGATAGATAGATAGATAGATAGATAGATAGATAGATAGATAGATAGATAGATAAAACACGTTCAAGTGCCAAAGATATAACGCGACTCCAGTCCTCTATCAGAATTATCTTGTACAAGTGTCCCACTACCGACACCAGCAGCTGCTACTTACTTTGCATAAATTTATGCTTGATATTGATGAGGCAAATCTGATCTATTAACTAGATCCGCTTTTTTTAATGCTTGGTAATATTACGTTGCAGGTCTCCAACCCACTCACCCGCCGCTTTCTATCTTTATGATTATTATTATGTATCTGTTTTAAGTATCTATGTGTCTATCTATCTCCATGTAAACCATTCTTTCTCTCTGTGCCATATGAGCACACATGCACACGCACGCACTCGCACGCGCACACGCACATGCACGCACACACACACACACA